CTGGTCCCCTAGGAATTTCAACTTAGTTCCTCCCATGTCAAGGGAGGGATTTATTTCTTAAGACGGTATGTAAAGACCACATTTTATTTCAGTTTGTTGTATTTATCATATCAATCTAGTTATTGCAAGTTACTTTGAAGTTCTCTGCCCTATTCTCATCCATTTGTTCTCTTACTTTTGCTTCATATTTTTAATTTGACTTTAGTTTTTCTGATTACTGTGTCTTTGTAGTTTCATCATGATCAAGCTGAAGTAATTTATGATAACATGCAATAGAATTGTAGTTCTTCTTAGACGTTGTTATGATTGCAGATTTAAATTTTCGATTATAATTATGTAATTTCTCCTTATATAGATTACAGTTTCAAAAAAAAAAAAGCTCTTTGCATTATAATTATCAACTTCTATGTAACTTATTATATTAACTTGTCTATCAACTAATGCTACAGATGGACTTTGACTTTCACAGTTGTACCTACAGCTCTTGGAACAGCTCTGGATATCAACCTGAGTAATGCATCCCTTGTTTTCATCTCTGTTACATTTGCCACAATGGTTAGTTATTTACCTATCTTCCATCTGTTGATTACATGCATAAGATGACATGAAATTTCTGATTATGGATATGTTTGAGAAATGTGTTTTAGAGGGCTGTCTTATGGGCTCACATATTACTTTCTGTTTTTGCAGTGTAAATCTGCATCTCCAATATTTCTTCTTATATTTGCTTTTGCATTCAGGTGATCGACCTTTAAGCTTCATATTCATTTTCATTGGCATTCTTCTTTTTGCTAGTTTTGTGGGTATCTTGTCTGGATTGTGTTTCCTTCTTAGGATGTTAATGAATGTGTTTGCAGGCCTACATAACACAGCCTTCGCCATCCTCTAATACCTATTCACCTCTGTTTCCTCAGGGATGTAAATCGTCCTTAGCCTATTTTTTATTCTCTCTCGTAATGGCAAGAAATCTGCCTCCTCATTAAGGCCTATAGTCGCTCAAAGGGTGTGATTCCTTTCCACCATGCTTATAACCCATGAACCTGTATCATTCTCCCAGAAAAACTGTCAAAAGTTTTTAGTTAACCTCTCAACTTCCTCTTCCATAAAAACTATCGTCAAATAGAAACCTTCCCACCCTCGCTTAAGCTGATGCATTTCAACTTCTCTCCTATCAAATTATGTCAAAAGACTTCCTTTTTGTGATAAGGAATCTTCTAGTAGGAGAGGCCAATATGAATTAAGGCCCAAAGTTTGCTTCGACAACAAAAGTTGGTCTGGAGCCAGTGGATTGACCATTGTAAATGGAAAACAAAAGAAAAAAGAGAAGAAAGAAAGAGATTTCTCATCCTAAAAAGTAAGAGAGGGAAAAGGCATATATTTCATTAACATTGAACTACCGTTAAATAATTTGCTCATAATTGCTTGTTCAACAGTAACAATCCCGAAAACTTCAAAGGTGATAAATTATAAATTTAGTGCAAAAGCAAAATAATAAATTAAGATTTACATTCCTTACACAATAAGTGAAAGTACCAAATATGATTTACGGGAATAACTCTTATAAAAGAACAACTGATAACTAAATAAATAAATTAAAAGTAAACAAACTGAACATCCTACTCGCAACTCTCTTATGGATCGGGTTTTGAATTCTGATTATCTTGATCTGAAATAGTTAATGAAAGAATGAATTACACTAGTGCAGTAAAAATATCACGTTACTCACTACACAGAAATGAAGATTGGTAAAAATTATAAAAACAACTAATGGAGCTCTTAATTTAAGTAAATTCGTTTGTCATAAATAAAATTATTTATCGCATACTTACCGTAGCGGGATTACCAAAAACAACCTATAATGTCAATAATATAACACATATCATAATTTCATATACAATCAATCGGAACAAGAACCTTCCCTTTTATCAGCCTACTGGTATCTATGGGTGTCTATAGGAATGTTCCAACTATGCGTGAACTATCTTTTTTACATTTTTAATTAACAGGTCGTCCCCATGCCCCGTCCGGTATGAGCGCCAAAAGATACCATCTCTCAATATCACGTTCGGTATTATGGTGAAACATGCTGTCCTTATATCCCGTTCGGTATAAGCACCAAATTACCAAATCTCGATACCCCGTCCGGTATGAGGTAACGTTCACTGTAGAGTTCTCTATGTACCCGGTCTGTTCACTATCTTTCAGGATATCCAGTAAAGCTGCCGTTTCATCCATCCACTTAATCAAATAATTTCCCATTTACCTTTAATTTTCAGTTTTCCAATTTAACTGTAATTCCATAAAACAAGCAATACATGCATTAAAAAAACACAATCACATCATCATATCAATTTCAGTGTATTATCATGCATTCGAAACTGTAAAATCAATCAATCAGTTAAACACAGCAAACAATAATAAATAACCGGTTCCGGCTCCATTAGTAATCCGTAATTAATTACGAATATTTTATAAGTTTTACAAAATATCATATTATTTAAAATTAAATTTTAATTCCATAACAGAGAATAAAGTGAAGGATTTTTACTCAAACTGATGTCCAAAAAGTTAACTTTTGATTACGCTTACTGGTGGTCCCCGAGTTCCCTGAATTTTCCTTCAGCGATTAAAATACGTTTCAAATACCTAGAAATATCCAAAAAAATCCAAAATCAGTATTAGGAACCCTTTTTGGCTAATTCCGGAATTCTGGCACGGCGACGGCACTGCTGCTCGCGGTGGTGGTTTGCCTTGGGTCGGCTATTTTCGGCCGGTTTTGTACCAATACCTGCGAGAAAACACGTTGGGCTCAGTTGGCTGAAAAAAGTCTAAAAACCAAAACTTACCGGCGGCGGGGTTCTCTGGTGCGGCGGCTCCACCGGCTCACCTTCGCAGTTGGGTGTTTTGTTTCAGTCAACCTGTAGAGAAAGGAATGGTGCTTACAATGGTGGAAAAATTACACGAAACGCGAATCAGGAAGGGTCTCATCGGAGGTAGTTTTTACTTTCTTCCGTGGCGGCACCACCGGGTTTTACCCACGGTTTTAAGTCAATCTGCCGGTCCTTTTGTTCCGATTTGGCTATGAGGGTGTTTAAAATAGAATTTTGAGTAAAGAATTTTTTTTATCTTTTTTGGCGGTCGGAAGTGGCTCGGGCACCGCGGCGGCGGCGGCGGCGGTCGGCTCTCTTCCCGGCAACTGGCTCTTATTATCCGGCCAAGGGAGGGTATGACGGCTATGGTTAGGATTTAGTGTGAAGAATGTTATTTATATCCGTCTCCTTTTAATCTGGGTCGTCCATCGTATTTGATTTGGATCGTCCAATCGCGTTTAAATAGAAAGTAAATCTGTACCGTTCATCGCGATTTGATCCGGGCCGTCCGATTGCGTTTAAATAGAAAGTGGATCCAGACCGTTCATTGCGTTTAATCGTGATCGTCTGATCGCGTTTGAGAATGGAATGAATTCGGACCTTCCGTGCGAGTGGGAATGAATCTGGACCATCCGATCGTTGGCACGCGGATCGTCAGTGTGGCCTACCGCGTGGCACCGCGTTAGCGTCCCTTATCACGCGGCACGCTCCGGTTTGTCGGGGCTGCTGACTGGGCGTTCTACGTGACAATTTTTCTAAATTGCGTTTTGACTTCCAGTTTCCGATTTTTCTTTCAAAAATACCCTTAAAACCCTAATGTTCACCTATTTTTTCCAAAATTGTTTTCAATTTCATAATTCATTTAATTTTCTTCATTTTTACATTAAATAAGAATAAAAAAAATTAAAAAAATTTATATTTATACACTAATTTTAATTACATTAAAATTAATTAATCAAGAGTATTACATCAACCATAATTTCTTCATGAAACAAATTCTTTAAATGAGTTATGCTGTTTGGCTACAAAAGTTTTTATACGACTAGATGGGAAAAATCTTGTAGGCTTTATAGCTCGCTCTGATCTTACCTTTCTTAGTGAACCTTGTGACTCACTGATGATTCTCATGTTTTAAGTATGAAAAGGTTGTTGTATGATTGTTGATTATATACTAATGTGACCAATTAAAAAAGCTCAAATATATTTAAGATCAGTGTACCATACACTTTTGTGATACAGTCTAAGTTAATACTTATACTCTAGTGTCTTTCTTTTCCATCATATATGCTAAAAAACAAACCTCTTTATCCACTCTTGTAGGAGTGGGTGTGTGATAGGCTGAGTCGTGGGATTGTGTTTCGATATAGGACCTAATACAAGTTTCTTTTTGTTTTTTAGTTTTTTGTTTTCTTTTCCGTTTCACTTATTATTCAGCCATTTGACAATGAACCTTTGTTTGAAAGGTTGGAGTATCCGAGCGTAAAACTTTTTGGCATAATCATAATAATCTCCATCGGAATTTTATTAACAGGTATGCTGTTTATCATCTCTATGAAGAGTTTGCAATTAACTTTTCCATATGCATCTGTTTGCTTCTACTTGGGCTTTGTTTGGGAGAGAGGGGCAGAGAGTTAGCTAAATAATGGAATGGAATAGAATGGAATGAATTTTCTTTAAAGGAAAAGAATTAGTGGACTAGAACGGAATCAAAAATATTTTACATTATTTGGATAAAATGGTAAGGAAACTCCCTTGGAGATGAGAGAAGAAGGAACACAATTTCCTGACCCCCTTGGCTGCCTTATGGTAATTTGGAAGGAAAGGACTTTTAATGATGCCTCATCTTCTTTTGGTAGGAGTAAAGATTTATGGTTCCAAACCAGCAGTATTTTGTTGAAAGGGTGATCCTCTTGCTTTTGGTGCGAACTTGAGGAATCTTTTTGACGTTTTGATTAATCTGTAACACGATCTTTTTGCATAGGTGTTGCACCTCCTTCGTATCTTAACATAATCTTCTTTTATCTTAAAAAAAAATAGTAATCAAAATGATTGTAAAGTATTTCACAATTCTGGATAGGAGGTGAAAGAGCGAGAAAAATAAAATGATTAATGTGCAAGAGGCAATGCTATCTTATTATTTAGAAACATGATAAAAGACCGAGAGTAATTTAATCAACCACCCAAATTAAACTTTTACATCAATTTCCATTCTTTTATTGGAGAGAAAAATTTTGGCCCGTTGAGTGAGAATAGATGGAAATGATTCACCTTCATTTATGCCAAGAAATCATGCAACCTATGCGACAGTGCTGTAGAATCGTGCAATCGCATTCTTTTATAGTTTGCATATGCTTATTGGATTTGGTGTAGGCGAACTTTTTCATAGAGTTGGGTGGTGGTAGATTCAGTAAAAAAGGAGATATAGGCATGGAGAGGCATCCAAGGTGATAAGAGATTAAGACTTCTACTTTTGGTTACCTTTTGGATTATTTGAAAAGGTGGAAACAGAAAGGCTTTTGAGGATGTAGAACTCTGATAAATTTAAGGATTTTTCATCCAGACTCTTCTTGTTAAGGCTTCATACACTATGTTCTAGCTATAATTTAAGGAATCTAATTAACTTCTTTGCTAGGTTTATGAAAATTTTTATGTACCGGTTTGCACTCTTCGGTGCTTTTGAGTACATTATACTTTTATTTTAAAAAATGATTCAACTTCATTTTGTTCCATTTTGTTCCATTCCATTAGTGAATATTCTTTCAAACAAAAGGAAATATTTCTCTCGCAGTACTCCATTTTATTCCGTTCCCTGTCCCTCTCCTCTTCCCTCTCCCAAACATTTAATCAATGCATCCTTCCATATTTTTTCCCTTTTCCTTTTGCAGCTGCTTTTTTCTACCCTTCTGTACATTAGTTGATGCAGGACCAAAGTAAAAGTCCTAAACGATTAGGATTTTATCTTGCAAGTTCCTAGGAAAGATTAATTAGCTGTTTACTCTTTAAAATATATATATATATATCCATGTAATCTCTTGAGAAGTCGTACTTTAATAGACTGATCAACCCATTGAAGAGATGTGTGTCCTCTACTTTTTCAAGCAAACCAGAATTTGATCTAATTTTTGAATATTACAACCCAATCTCCAAACTACCTTATCTCTCCTGCTTCAATTTGGCATAAAAGCCAAAGAACAAACATGAAGTTGTTATTGCAGCCAGAAATTGAAAAGTTCTTAGGTTGAACCAGGCCCAAGAGATGGTGGGTATTGACCAGAAACATTTCTAAGAAGTGCAGAACATGCTTTGAGATTGTATAGATGCTGGAATGGAGGTACTAGAATGTAACACCAATCTTGTGTATTTACGGTATGGAAGGTGCGGAGTCCAAAATCATCTAGTTGTAATGTTCCTTTTTGCTTTTCACTTTTGGTCTATGGCGTACAGTCTTATGCAGGTTAATTGGGTATGCCTGGATCATTAAGAAATGAGATTTGGACATGGAGAGGCATCCATGGAGTTAAGTGTTTCTAGAAGAATTTGGCCTTATTCCTTTGGCTACTTTATTGGTTATTTTTGAGATAAGTGATCAACGACACTATACATCTCTTCTAAATGCTTCTTGCTTTTTTTTTTCCTCTCTTTAATATCTTAACTTCTTTAAAGAAAAAAAAAACGAGCTCCAAATAGTGTCTACGGAATTCCTGTATCTGTAGGGTCCTCCGAGTGATTTGTTGCTTGGGGCGTTCGGCACCCCGGCTAACCATGCTGGTGGGCCAGCGAAAATTTTTGTTGTTGAGCAGAAATCTTTCAATGTAGTGGAAGAGGTAGCGGTATCAGAGTGTAGGAAAATGGTAAGGGCTCTCGGAGGTCTATTTTTCTCTAGAAAGAAGATGTTGAATGGTTTCTAAATAGTCTTAGAGAGTTCAGATGGGAGAAAGGAGAGGTGGTCTGGAGTAGGCTTCAAAGAAGTTGTTGGAGAACGTTGCGTTTGGTACTAAGCTGCAATAAGCGAGGAAGATTTCTGGCATTATCGAAAGGTAAAGATGGCAATAGAGAGAGATCCAATATGTTAGTTTTCCCAAAGGGGGTTCGGGCTAGAGGCTGGTGGAAATTAATGGATGTCGTCCATGAAATCGCTGGGGTGAAAATGGATTCCCCGGTGTGGTTGAGGGGAAAAAGGAAAACGATTGAATGAGAATCTTTCCCCCAGGTGGCGCAAAACACTGTTGTATTTAAGTATCCTGGGGTGCAGTCTTGAACTAGTGAAAAGGAAGAAGGCATCGTTCGCTGATATCTTCAGTTGGCCAGTCAGGAAGTAATGTAATTGAAAAGAACCTAAAATTTTTGTTCTCCATGTATGGAATGCACCCCTTGAACTACTTTGCAAGTTCTCACTTTCTAAACTGCTCTTTCTGGATATCACATGCTCAAAGAATTTGCCCTTTGTAATGTAGATTGTCCTGTTTTATAAAGACTTGGTTGTACATTTTATCATGTTTGATCACATCATGAAAATTTTTATATGGTATTTTTTTATACATTTCATGCTTTTAGTAGGTTGCAATGACGCCGCTTCATGAAAATTTCTATGTGATATTGTCTTATACATTTCATGCTTCTTTAGGTTGCAATGGCTCCGACTTTTGATTTACTTGCTTTTTCTCTTTCTTTTAGCTTTCTTTTTTTGGCTAAAACTTCATTAACTGCATTCACAAGCATAGTGTCGTAGTATCTACATACTGTTCTTCACCTGTATTTTTATCCTTTTGCTTGCAGTTGCAAAGGAGACAGAGTTTGAGCTCTGGGGTTTTGTTTTTGTTATGCTTGCTGCTGTTATGTCTGGGTTTCGCTGGTGCATGACTCAAATTCTTCTGCAGGTTTGGCTATAGTTTAATTTTTTTTTAAATCCAGTTTTAAGTGATTCTTTCTATGATAATCTAAGTGCTTACTTTTTTTTGTTTCGTTGGATCTTGACTTTGCAACATTGTGGTGCTTGGGCAATACACAAACAACATAAAGAAAGAAGCCTATGGTGGGTGCAGCTCTTTTGAATTGTTATTTTTATGTTAATTTTATGAAATCTTTTGAGATCTTTTCGTTTTCCCAAAATCTTTTATAATATCTCGTGTTCTTTAGGTTTTCTCTAAATTATTTCTTTATTCACTTTCTTCTCAGAAAAAGATTTTCTTTTTCTTTTTGATGAAAAAGGAAATATTCTTAGAGAACCTTCTTACTGAAACTTTTACACTGTAAAGGAGCTTTGTCACGGACTTTTTACATCCTAGACCATCTGAGCCCCAAATCTCATCAACAATTATGTTGCTAACAACCCAAGATAAGTTAAGGAGACCTGAAGATAGATTTCCATACTAGCCTCTGATTCATTTTCAGAAAGACACATTCTGTAGCCATTGATCTGATTTCTTCCTCTCCTTCATTTGGTTGTCAATGGTATATATCCTTCCCCAAGTGGGCTTCTAATAGAAAGAAAGCTATCATGAGGGGGAGCTTTCTTCTTCCATCTATCTTTCCAATGAGACTTAAGATGCAACATGATTCTGATAAAAAATTACCTAGAACACACATGCTGGAAAGAGGCCATGCTAGGATGTCCCATCGGTTTGGAAACAACTTGCAGATAGCCGAGGGAACCGATAATGAAACAGACCATCCATCTACCGGTCATTAAATGCCTCAAAAGATGAATGTTATAGGTAGAACCTCTTGGAACCATTCACCTCCATGTAATCACTTGGTAGGGCCTCTTTACTTCTAGCAAGGCCGAAGACACTTTACTGGTAGTGCGCCCAAAAACTCATAGAATACTCATTACTGACCTTGAAGTGAGCTAGCTATCAAGGAGTTTTATTTCTTTCATGTTGAAGATGTAGCAATTATGTCATGTGGGGTGTCATTACTTGTTACTCTTGAACAACAAGCTAATAACTCCACAGTTTCCAGTTCAAATGGCCTTGTTTACTAGAAAGGATTCTGATCCAGTTTCAAATTTAAGCAGGCTGGCTTTGTGATGATATGAGTTTTTAATGTTAAATTAGGCATTCTAGCATTTGTCAAGACCTGGATTTGATGGTAAACCATTTTCCCCTAGTTTTATCTTTGCCTTTATAAAATATTATATTTTGCTATTTATGGTATACAACACTAAGATTTTTTATGCTTCTTTTTAAGGTTTGAAAAATCCGCTTACCTTCATGAGCTATGTGACTCCTGTCATGGCTTTGGCAACTGGTCTTCTTTCCCTTATCCTGGATCCATGGAATGAATTCCGAAGAAACAATTATTTTGATAGTTCGTGGCATATCACTCGAAGTTGCTTTTTGATGCTTTTTGGTGGAACACTTGCTTTTTTTATGGTAACAATTGACTGAACCGGTCTAAGTTTACATTAAAGAGTGGAGTCTGCAAGCTATTAAGGTTCTGAACCTTGAAACAGCTTGAGATGTTTTGATTTTCTTTTCTGGATCTTTGTAGTTTCTGTAAGTTCAGTTGAATTTTGTTTGTTAAAATCTCTGGTTTTTAATAGTTTTGTTTCCTTGCAGGTTTTAACAGAATATATACTAATATCTGTAACTAGCGCTGTTACCGTCACAATAGCAGGTGTTGTCAAGGAGGCAGTCACCATATTGGTATATGCTCTTCTCTTGATCATCCTGGTGTTATTATTTTCTTCTCAATCTGCAATTCCATGGTCATTGAAGAGAACAATTCATGCTAAAAGAAATAAAACTAGCTCTATTTGAGTGTCCCTAATTAAGTGGCTATGTTTGCGTTGGTCCCACATGTAGGAGGTTATCTTCCCTCCATTCTCTTCTTCCTTCGTCCTTATGGGCCATTCTTCTTTTTATTTGCATATTTGTTTTTATGCAGTTTTTGGTGCATACAATTGGTCATGTTATGCTCTCTCTCTCACATATATTTTCATAATATTAGGTAGATAACTATTTCGATAATTTACTTTCTCAGATTGACACAGGTTATCTCTGTATCTACAAGGATATATTGATAATCTTGGGAGTAACAACTAACAATCATAATGGTTTAGGTTTTATCGTATCATATATGGGAGCATGTTTGAGTTCTTTGGAGAACTTGATATTTAATAGATTTTACATCTACTTTTGCCCCTTTTTAGACTAAAGGTTTGCCTTCTATAAAATTCAACATCTTTGGATGCTTCTTGAGAAACTGAAATATCTGCATCTATGAATTGTATCAAATATATTCTAAAAGATCTCAAAGCGTTGAGAGGTTGGAAATCAACGTGATATGCCTCAAATTTATAAAGATTTCAAAAGTTTGTAGTGAGCAAAGTTAACTAGGGTTGGTTTACAACCTTTCCAATCTGCATTTTAAAAGTTTGATTAGATTGCAGTGTAAAATAGTCTTTTGGATTACTTGGTTCCCTGATTGGGAAGCTGAGCTTGGAGAAGCTAATTTAAGGGGAAAGATTTAGCCAAGATGATTTCAGAGTTAATAGAAAGAATATTGTTTTGTTGAGAGACTCTAGGAGAAGAAATAGGACTTTATGGTTCCTGACTTGGAAAGCTAGAAATTGGAGAACTGAATATAGGCTGCAGAATTTGGGCAGTAGGAAAAGAGTTAAGAGAGATAAGGGTGATCCTTATTTATTTATTTATACTGAGATTCTAGGAGAAGAAATAGGACTCTAAATAGTTCCCAATTTAGATTGATGAGATTCGATAACCAAATTTATGGGGTTTAACTTTTTACTAAAATTTGGATTTTCCTTCTCATAGCATATCAACAACTCTGTTATCTATTTGCTCACTTCTGATCTAATGTTTTGATACTTCTTTTTCCTCTCCAAAAAAAGGCTGATCTAGTATTTACAGTTTGACCACAAAGTATGCTAGGAAAGGAAACTGTTTATTTCTCCCAAAAAAATTTCTAACCTCTTTCTTGTGATCTAACATTTGAATATAAAAATGGTTCTGTGGACTTTTGTCCAAAAATAGCTTACTGCTTGCTAAGCCTAGTTCCTTGTGATCCTAAATTTTGAATCTTCTGTAATTTGTACCTGTACACCATATCTTGATCCAAATGTATTACATTTTAGGTAACTTTATGGTGAGTGCATATAGGAGTTATAACCTTTTTTTCGAGATAAAAATATAAATAGTGTATAAATGCTATGCAAAGTTCCCCTAGAATATTTTTTTTTGCTTGGGAAGTCTCAAGAGAAAGTATCATGACTATTGATATGCTGAGGAGGAGAGGTAACATTTTGGTTAATAGGTGCTATTTGTGTAAAGCAGGTGAGGAATCTTGCAACCACGGTTTACTTGGTTTTTTGCCTGGCTGTATACACTATCTAGACCACTGTTTATGAGATTATGGGATGAATTGAGTTATAACGGGTATTATTAGTAAGGAGATCTGCGTGGGCAGGAATATGTAAAAAAAAACATTTATTTTTAGTTTCACTAACTATTTCTTGGGTAGTGCGGAAGGAAAGAAATATGAGAGTTTTTGAGGGAATTGAAACTGACTTTGTAAACATTAATGAGAGATGAATCAACACTTTTGATTCTATTTTGTTGAGTTATGACATTAGAGATTGAGAAGATGTTGAGATAGTTATTGATCACTTGATTGATATGTAATTATTTTGTATACGGACGGTACTCCTTTGATACCGATGTTTATAATAATACACTTCACTTTTATTTAAAAATAATAATAAATGCTATGCACCAAAAGGGTGCAAACCATGTACAAAAGATATTTATAGCTCAGTGAGACTGTGTATGACATGTCCAAAATCCTCTACCCTGTATATGTCATGCCCCAAAAACTTAGAGTCAAAATAATGAAACTATCTATTTTTAATTTTAGACATATCTCTCTCCACCTCATAAAAAACTCTCATATTTCTCTCTTTATACACCACCCAAAGAATAGTCAAAGGAATGAACTTTATACGTTTAATCTTTTCATAACCCCCTCTCCCCCTCCTCGGCCCCAAATCTCCTCCCTCACCGAATCTGCCCCAATCCAACTAATACTCAAAAGATTATAGACCATAGACCATGGACTATAAGCTATAGGACACCATAAAAGGAGATAGTTGTAAGTTTTAGTCACTTGTTTACGTAAATAGCACACGTTGGCCATCGCTCTATCATTTTTCATCGAGTTATCAATGGTCAAAATACGTTCCGTCCCTACTTCACACGCAAAAAAACCATCTTTGGTGGAGTTTGAGCCCTCCAAATTTGCTTAAAAAGGAAATCCATGATCCCAAGATCATTAGTACCCATCAATATATCATAATAAGACTTTACAGAGAATTGACCATCTTTCTTAGGTTTCTGCGACAATTTATCGCTATCCAAATTCACTTGCACACTAGAAATCAGCTAAAATAAATCTTTGTATTTCGCAATTTTCCAATCATTAAGGTTCCGCATAACTAAAACATTCCACACCCCCAGCCCCATCAGCACCAAAAGATTTAGGAGTTATATTACAATTTTGAACATAGAAAGAAAAGAGACAGTTGTTATTCTTTATTATTTGAGTAAACAAATTAGTTCTTATAGCTAAGAGCATCCTTACTTTGCATGGTTGTCAAGGTACTTGGGAGAGAATGGTTGTTAGTTGTTTGATAATGCTCCGATATTCACTGGGTTGGATGAGTTAGTAAGTGCTCTCCCCATATTCACATTATTAGGGACTGGAAGAATGCTAGACTAGTGGAATTCACGTCTTTTTAGTTCTTTTATGCATGATGAGTTCATTTTTTTTTATGTTAAATATTTCTTATGGTTGATCATAAAATTTAAGGTTGATTATCATTTTAGTCCTAAAACTATAGTCTCTGTTACTTGTTGATCTCAAATATTTCTTAGGTTCTGAAGCTGCTGTACATTTCAACTCAGACTATGTGGTCTCTTAGTTAGTTTGAAAATGACAAAAAAAATCTTGATTTAAATATTTCAGATAGCTAAATGACTTGATTGAAACGAAGAAGATATAGTATTAACTTTGTAAAAAAACTTATGTTGATTATGGAGAAAAAATAATTTTATTTATCGTTTTTTAGGTTGTTACATTTAGGGTATTTATAGAATTTTTAACCTATTAATGAAGAAATTCTTATTTTGTTATAATTCTAATTATATGAGATTACTTAATTAAATAATAAAGCAATTAAATAATAAAATAAGAAAATATCATATTCAACCCTTCCCTTCAAGTTGGTGCAGAGATATCACACATGTCGAACTTGCAGATCAAGTTGCAAACCCGAGGCGTAGACGTGCGGAAAAACCGAAAAAAGAATGGTTGGAGTGTTTCGCACTCAAAAAAAGCAGATCTGTGCCGGATCGCGAAAATAGAGGTGGACGTGCACAGAAGAGCCAGAAAAAGGAGCAGAAAAGGCTGGTCAAAGCGGCTCGCATATG